ATAAATAAGGCTTGGCCATCGCAGTAGCAGATATCTCGTAATTTTGACGTACTTCCTACGCTAGTATGGGTATTTTAGATCTACCGATATATACGTGATGGTTTACTGCCACTAAACGTCAGAGGCAATGAGGTCGTCGGGGCTTCCGGATTGTAACCCCTTAAGAAACTAGGCGAACTAAATAAAGCGATGGATTTTTTTTACTCCGCCATCGAACGGCCACTGCGATATTATTTGATTTTACTTATTTTTTTGGCTGCCACGTTGGTATTGTTGGTCCCGTGTTCGAATCCTGGGTACGGTCAAAATCAGTTATTGGGTGTTTTTGTAAAGAAATTTTCAGTAGCAGCCCGAAGTCATGATGTTGGCAGAGTTTTACCCATAGAATACTATAATACATACACAATAGAACGGGGGAGTGGGCGGAGCCCGCGTAGCCACTAAAATGTTACTAACACGTCAATTCAAACGTATAAATGCCAACACGAGATGTGTTTTGACGTTACAATCGTTTCCAAATTTCGCATGAAAATTATTTAGAAAATGCCAAACTGCACCCTATTTACAAATAAATATGTATTAAAATTTAAACGATTTTTTTAAATGATGATCTTGAGCATTAATCAAAAGTCTAAAATGTGTAAATTTACTTAGTCTGTCAACACAGCGAATCGGGTTTGGCGACGCCCTTCCTCGTACAAAATAAAGTTGACAGCCATTCTATTGTGTATTATAGTATTCTATGGTTTCACGCCTTTGCCTAAAGCCACTGGTCCTGCGGCAGATCTCCTTCTGATCGTGTCAGATAACCGTCCTATGGGACTATGAGAGTGATGGAATAGAGTGCACTAGAGTGCTCTCGCATTCACTCGGGCATTATAAATTATAATCCTGCCCTGCGCAGGTGGCTAGTCTCCGTTGAGGACTGGTCGGGAGGACATTATTATTAATAGATTTTTAATTTTTATTAGTTAAAAAATTAGATATAGGAAAGTAAATTATTTGTTGACACACATTGGATTCCAACTAAAGGGTCATAAACAAATATGCCAATAAGCACCTAAGACAAATTAAATAAGGAATTTTCTTTTTTTTAAGTACTTTTTTATTTACAAAACAATCTATAATATACTTTAAGAATAACACGGAACCTAAGTAAATCAACGTAGTCACATTTTCTTTACCGGCAACCCATTATACGCCCTCGAAAGCGGAAGTCACCGTCGAGCAAAGCGGCAATATAATTTATAACTGTCTTCTGGAGCGGACTATAAACGAAACTACCTACATTTACTTTACTTTATAAAAAGCCGCACTTTGTATTAAAATGAATACTATATTACTTTTATTTCTGTGAGTAATACTATTACATAGCACTTGGTTTGCAATAAAGTAACACAACATTATATGCACATCGTGACATTTTAAGCTTTATTAACTCAAGATTATTAATCGTATAGTTATTTACTGCGAATTTTGTTCATAAAAGATTAACGAGTAACATACTAAAACCGTACCATGAAGTGACGGTGTAATTACCGTGTATTGGCAATGTAAGAATATCCACTACATACCCATATCATCCCGTGGGTATCGTAAGAGGCGATAGAGGGAAGCAAATCAGGAGACGGGCAGCAACTTCTTTCTAAAAACGACTAAAATTATAAATAAACTATACAATGTTAATGTCAAACTATTATAAATATACTAACTATAAAATATAATATAAATAAACTAGCGGAAACGATATGTGAAATAAGAATAGAAGGGTAGATGGTCTAATAAGTAGATGAATTTATATATTTGGGATGTGTATTCAGCAGGGATGGGAGATATGATAAGGATATTGAACGACGAGTGAATGCGGGAAATAAAGTAAATGGGGCTCTACACTCTATTGTGAAAAGTCAGAATGTGTCAAAAAAGGCACGTATGGCTATTCACAATGCTGTATTAGTCCCTGCTTTAACGTATGGTAGTGAAAGTTGGGTGTGGCAGAAGAAGCACGAGAGTAGAATAAATGCAGTAGAAATGCGGTCGCTAAGGAATATGGTAGGGCTGAATCTGAGTGACAAGGTGAGAGACTGTGTGATAAAAGAAGAGCATGGTTTGCAGGATGATGAGGTGACCAGGATTAAGAAAGGAATGCTTCGGTGGTTTGGTCATGTAAAAAGAATGAATGAGGAAAGACTCACAAAGCAAATATATGTTGCAGAAGTGAGTGGAAGAGTCGGAAAGGAACGTCCTAGGCGAAAGTTTGTCGACCAAATTGGCGATATTTTAAAAATGGGCCAAATTAAGAGTACCCTTAACCGACGAGCACGTATACGTAGGTATATGGATGTGGAAGAGGCGAGAGAGGTATGTCAGGATCGTGCTAAATGGAAGTCTGTAGTCTCTGCCTACCCCTCTGGGTCGCCAAGCGTGGCAAATATGGCATATATCTTCCCTATGAGGTAATGTGTGGGGGGGCTTACATTCAGCGGTTGACTTTAATGTGGCTGTAACGGAAACAGGATACAATAAAATGTTACCAACTTAGATTAAGAAATATTACTATTTATTTAACACGATTTATCATAATGTTAATACGGTGTTATTCAGATCAGTTCGCTATGCAAAATCTTTAAGAAATCACCTTGATGATCACGTTAAGTGTGAAAACGTCAAATCTATCAAATATGTAGGTTAAAAGCTTTTACTCACAGCTACGGTCGTGCGGCTTCAATGTAGTTCAATAAAGTATTTCAAATAAATAGTTAATTTTGTACATATGCCAAAATTAAAGAAGGTAAATTTTCGAACAAAATAAATACTTTAAAATTTTAACAACACCATGTATAAAGTGGGCGGTAACTACGCTTTCTTTATTTTGTAGCCAGAATTTATTGACCCTTTCGATCTTCACTTAGCGAAAATTTGTTTATCTATATCGTGTGTTAAAATAGAAAAGGTTATATAAGTTATAAATGGAAAGAAATTAGTAGAAGGTGTAATTGTTGGGTTATAGACCAAGTATGAGAGATAGAAAAAGTAAGAATAGCACTAATGAATCAGCAGGTCCAACCATTTTGGATTCTGTAAATATATGTAGAATAGTCTCGCAAAAGGTCCAATATTTTTACAAAAACGTAACGAAACGTACGTATTACGTACAAATTACGTTTTGTTACGATAATAACTACAGTGACATTAATAAAAAAAGCTTAACCTTGTGGGTTTGTCTAGTAAACTTTCTCCAATCGTTAATGCTAGTAGAAAACTATAAAAATTAATGCGAATGACATGTCACGTCGAATGACGAAAGTCCAGCATTCAGAGTCAAAATCTCAGTGCTACAAAATGTATTTAGTTTTTGACATTGGCTGTGGAGCCCTGGGATTACTAGCTTAAAGTTAAACGTTTACTTAAGGACTTAATTATAAAATGCCTAGGGTAGGCCCTGTAGGGCTTATTATGTAATTTTTTATTAAGTTCTATCATCACCATCATTCCTGCCTGTCAGGAGTCCACTTGCTGAACACAGGCCTTCCCTACATAGGTTGCTTCATAAAGTCGACATTAGTCATAGTTGTCAAGTTTGGCCGACGGGTTGGCAATCGGTATTTTATTATTTTGAGTTTTTATTAGGAAGATGCTGCTGCTCATCTCCTTTTTCATTTTTTCCTTTGTTACATCTTACGACACCGACGGGATAATATGTGATGGTGGTTTCCCTTAATCCGCCAATACAAGGTATAGAGTTCTATATCATTTCATCATTATATAATTAATTGGCCAGTCCATTTAGTTTCACTATCTAACCCTCTATATCGATGTGTACTCTATGTTGGATATCAAATTTGGAACTATTTTAATGTGTTTAAATGTATTGCAATGCAGGAGTGCATACTAAATGTATTCAAGAATGCAGTTATAACCGTAAATTCAGTAAAAATATAACGTTTTGATTTATGAGAGGAGAAAAGTAAACATTTTCCGAAAATACAATAATTGTTATATAGCATATTGTATAAGAGTACCACCAATTTATGGACCGAGCCGATTTAACGAAAACGTCAACTTTAGCATGTACATGTATGGCATAAACATATTCACTTATTAAATTTTACAAAAAGCAATGGGTATTAGTATTACGTTTTAGCGGAGTTAACTAAATTGTCATTCTACAATCGTTTACGTTAATAGAAAGCTATAAAATTAATGGAAATTATATTATGTATCTTTATGGTTAATCGCGTGACTTAACATTGATTAATTTTATTTTACCTTACCACAGAGTTCACTGGTAGAAAATTCGATATGGCATTAAGTCCACCCTTCCTCCTAGTTGAAGTGGTTTGCACTATAGGATAAATAAATAAATAAAAATATTCATAATTTTTAAATAATATATGACCTTTTATACGGTAATTAATTTTTAATCTTAATTTACAAATAATCTTAAGAGATATTTTAATAAATCAAGGTTAACGAGAACTATCAACATGATGAAATGTTCAAAGCTAAAGTAGGTATTACCACTAGCATTATAAAGACAGTTGTATCATATTTAAATGCGACCTTGAGTACATAATGTGCACGCATTGCACAAGAATTAGGGCGCGATGCACGTTTTCGAGTGAGTTATGAAGCAAGGAAGAGACACGAAGCTTATTTTCTAACGCTTTCAGGTTCTCTTCTCTGCCAATTACATTAGAATTTCACCGATGGTACAAATTTACTGGGAATCGAATTTGGGTTAGTTGCATGCTATAAAATTTAAAAGATACTCTCAGCTTCTGAACTACTTGTTATTAATATCAAAAGGCTCAAACATTCAGCCGACTGTATTAATTAACAACCCCAGTTCGCCTTTGTTCTTCTTCGAATATGCCGGTAAAATTAGCAATTGTATGAGATTGTATTAATCTTATGTTTACGCCATTGGAAAGTTGAGTTTTAGATGAGTTTTCTATAGAATACAATATCATAAAGTTTAACAACTATTGTAATTACAGGAACCAACGGAGTGCGCGATCACACGAAGAGTTCGGGAGAATCGTGAGTATTGAAACTTTTTACATTATAACATTATGTATTTAAAACATTGATTTTTAACTCTATTTGCTTTAGAATGTTTTCATTGACTTAATCTTTGATATTAATTTATTTGTTTAAAAGCGCAAGAGAAAGCAGTTATGAGATGTATAAAATTTCTATTATGCCTGTGACATTAAAACGATTAAAAATAAGTTTCTGTTTATTCAATCATATAATGCACAAAAAGGGATAAAAATTAAAATAATATTTAAAGTAGCATTAACAAAAATAAATATAGTCATTCGTATGATAATTAAAAAAAAAACTGAGATTTATAATCTCTGAAACGACGGAAGAATGTATCTTAACCGAAACCAAAACCATTCAAATTGTACTCATGTGCGTTCTCGTTTGTAAATAAATTATTTTTTTCTGAAAGGACGCCGGCAGGGGATGTGCTTTTAGAGAGTGGGATGGCGCAAACTTCTAGAACGTATGTTTAAAACTTAAGCTATTTAGACGGCACTATTGGCGTGTAGTTGATTTTGCACGTGCCCAATAACAATAACAAACATGTGTGATAATTAATAGAATCAGGCGTAACTTTGCGGAAATCCATTATATTAAAGATGTTAATAATTAATACGTTAAGATCCGCGTAATAAAATAAAATGAATGCCCTCCTAATGATTTCTTAAATTTTACGCGAACACTACACATTGAATAAAACTATTATTTACGGTTTTATCGCGTTTAATTACTTTAATTTTTTTTTTATTATCCCGACGTTTCGGGTGCTTTACAGCACCCATGGTCATGGGGGGACTGAGATGTTTGACGTCCCAATGTCATAGTTAGTCCGGCTACCTTCAGTTTTTTAATATTAATTTTTGGTCCGATTTACGCAAAACGAGCTTATAGTATCATGAAGTCTTGCAGTGGTATGCTTGGGTTTGGGTTTAATTTTGTTAATTATAGGATCCCAAGCAGATGGTAGCACCCAACCATCTTCTCTATTGAAATTTGGATGTTTTTTAATTTCAATAGCTTCGCGTATCATCCTTGGTAGGAATCGGTGTTCTTTTGCGAGAATTTGTGGTTTATCAAATCTAATGTAATGGTGGGGACGATCTTGAACATGTTCGCAGCGGAAGTCTGCAGTCTGCGAACATGTTCAAGATCGTCCCCACCATTACATTAGATTTGATAAACCACAAATTCTCGCAAAAGAACACCGATTCCTACCAAGGATGATACGCGAAGCTATTGAAATTAAAAAACATCCAAATTTCAATAGAGAAGATGGTTGGGTGCTACCATCTGCTTGGGATCCTATAATTAACAAAATTAAACCCAAACCCAAGCATACCACTGCAAGACTTCATGATACTATAAGCTCGTTTTGCGTAAATCGGACCAAAAATTAATATTAAAAAAACTGAAGGTAGCCGGACTAACTATGACATTGGGACGTCAAACATCTCAGTCCCCCCCGTGACCATGGGCGCTGTAAAGCACCCGAAACGTCGGGATAATAATAAAAATAAATTAAAGTAATTAAACGCGATAAAATCCGTAAATAATAGTTTTATTCAATGAATGCCCTCCATCAATTTTTTACGTGGTAGAGCCTTGCTGCAGCTATATTGTGGTTGCAGCACGAGTGGGTCGGCTCGACCGGGGTAGGGCCACGCTCTCACAGAATACCAGCGTAAAATAGCAGCTTAATGCTGTTGTGTTTCGTATAGTGAGTGTAGAGAACCGGATACCCTTTTTACTGGAAACGAGGCATTCCATCTCAGTCTTTAGGAGAGGCAACGCATCTGCATTTTGGTTGAATTTTTTTTGGAGATGTCTATGGGCCACAGCATCCATTTAACATCAGTTGAACTATGTGCTCGTTCTATAAAATAAAAATAAAAATTGCGTGCACTAACCCCGTCACGACTAAACCCAGCACCATTACTCCCAACACCACTACACTAGGAAAGATAAACCACCGTCAATAATACGACACGTCTTTCGCCTCTACACGAGGCATCCTCCTAGCTGATTTACACTTCGACAAGTACAATTTAACACAAAAACGTATCTTGATTTTTATGCGTTTTGAGTTAAGTATGCAACTTATCTCAAAATTAAAAGTTATATTTGGTCCCAAAGATACGTATCTCAATAACACATAATTTTTAAAATGGCGGTCGACGTATCTGTATTATGCTTCAAACAAATACAAACACAGAAACTTATCTGAAGATACCTCTCCGTGTTACTTGTTACATGCGTAAAATAGAAAAAAAATAATGAACCCTTTTTGAAGATACGTATGTGTGTTACTTAGATTAAGCGATGTATGCACACTTAAACAAAGCGTACATTATTATCTAGATCCACATGGTTGTTTGGCTCAGTCTGAGCTTGGAGCTGCACGTTAGGTCAGTTGCGGTTGGTGAGTGTAGAGATCCGGAGACCCTTTTTACTGGAAACGAGGCATTCTATTTTAGTCCTCAGGGGTGACAACGCATCTGCGTTTTGATTCTTAAGCTAGAATAAATTTAGATGTCTATGAGCCACAGCATCCACTTACCAACAGGTGGACTGTGTGCTCGTTTGGCATCCTTATTCTAAAAAAAAACAAGAGCGGTATGTCACAATGTTAGTGCATAAAATTTAAAGAAAAGTTAAAACTGCTGGCGAAATTTCCAGATGAAACAAGATGCGACAGTTTTTCTTTTACAAAGATTGCGAAAAAGTTCAAGTATGTCAAGGGTTTTTTCTGGCTACCCGAGATATATCTGAAGTATTTTAAAGAAAAGGGACGAAGCGCGTATTGTTGCTCCTAGCATGAGAGAAAAGCCCAACAGATTTTACTAGATCAAGCGAAAACAAAGAAATAATAGAGAAACACATTCTGTCCTTTTTTTTTTTTTTTTTTTTTTTATAGAAGAGGGGGCAAACGAGCATGTGGCTCACCTGACACAAAATAAGAGAAGCCTTTTCTTGAAGGTCCCCAGGTCGTATCCCTTTCCTGCAGTGCCGTCCCATTATTGCCAAAAAAAAAATAATTATAAGTACTTGCCAGAAGGTTTGTCTCTACGGGATATGCATTAATCTATACACCAAATAATGCATGGATCAAAAGGTTGTTCCTGAAAAGTTTTGGCTTTTCAGATGAATTTTTAATCAAAACTTGAAATTTCGTATGCCAATTAAGAACATGTGTGATTCAAGCGTAAAGTACAAAAATTGCAGTGAGGATGAAAATCCAGCTTTATTTCCATCACACGTGCAACATATCCGTCGGAAGATTGAAGCACTTCAGTACCATGATAATTACAAGGAACCAGCAGAAAAAATTTTTTTTTAATTGAGATAGACTCGTTTTTTATAATGCGACAGTCTATGATGTTGAATCAAGTCGTGCGTCAAACTTTATGTGGCGTGAAGGTATTGCGTTTCCTGATTGAGGTTCCTACGAGTTTTCTTCCCGGCTTTATAAATATTTATTAGACCACGTCAATGAAAAAAAGTTCGTTATTATGAGTGATACTTGTTGAGACAAATAAAAAAGTTGAATAAACCTGAAATAGAACAGGGTTACTTTGAAAATTGCCATTCTATGATGAAGGATGATTCTGTGCACGCCCACATTGAAAGTTCGTCAAAAAACGTAAATATTTACCATCTCTCGGGATGATAGACCGCAGTAAGAACGGCATCAAAATCATAGAAATATCATGTTATTGAAATAAGCCAAGAGATGTTTTTAACGCTGTCAAGTTAAGAAAAAAGATTATTAAGAACAAAAAGACACTGATGGTAACTAATTGGCTCAAGATCACTATTAAAATACCATAAAGACGATTGTGATCATATGTATATATTAATATAATAAAAGCGATACAAACTTTAGTAAATTTGAAGTTATACGATGAGTGACAAGAGGTACTTACAAACTATGATTCCATGGAACTGAAAAGAGAGTATGACGGCCCTATGAAAATATCGTCAGAAAAATTACAAGATTTAAAAAGCATTTGTGATCAAGGTATAATACCATCACAATACCACTGTTTATTATGAAGAATTTAACAACGGCAGTAGCGAAGATAGAATATTCGGAATCAGAATCTTCAGATTAGAAATTTACAATCCTGTCATGTATTTTTTCTTTTGTACCCTATATCACAGTAATTAAGGTTTATTCTATCTTGTATTCTTTCATAAAATACGAAATAAATATGACTGAACAAATTAAATCTGACGTATCTAATTTTAAAATAAAATATTTAACAAAAAATATTTGTAACACAAAAACGTATCTAAAACCAGACTCTAAACTATGAAAGCCTCCCCCTCCACCCCCATGAATTTTAAACATATACAGAAATCTTTTAAAATAATCTGTTAATTGTTTTAGGACCCTAAATAAGCCTTTAAAAGTATTACAAGCTTTAAACATAATAGCTATGAAAAGTAATTATTTTATTCTCATTAATGTAGGTATAGTGTCACGAGGGTTTTTCGCTTTTTTGCAAATTCAACAAAATCAAGATACGTTTTTGTGTTACTAAGGGGCCGAGTAGCGAGTTTGGTTACAGGGCAGTTGGGTCAAAAGTATCCGAATTTGGGATTTACCAAACTTGAAAATTCATAACTCCGAAAATTTTATAGAAATATAGACCGACCGGCTATCCCATTCAACTTAATTGTTAACTTGCTACTTAAGTCACTAATTGCTGTTCAAACGAGATTTTCTACTTAAATCGCCAGGTTCGTAAGTTAACTGGCTACTATACTTGTCGAAGTGTAAATCAGCCTCAGGTTAAGTAGACTTTACGATGGCTGACCGTTAAATCACTAAGTAATTCACTTGCAAAAAGTGTGAAACACGTTACTTTAGGAAGCATTGAGACCAAAAAAGAAATTTTAAGATTGCTTTTATATTAAAATTTACGAGTAATATCGAAACTTTATTTACATAAAAGCAGCAGCATAAAATAGCGCATTAACACTGTTGTTTACATTGCAATGTTAACATTAATTATAAAGGTTCTATGTACACTAAATGTTGCCTACAATTATTTTAACTTACTTCTAGAAATAATCAAGTTTTTCGAAAATTTGAATTAAATTTAAATTTAATTAAATGTAATTTAGCCGTACTGTAAAAATATTTTTTTCATCTTTAAAACTTGGTAATAAGACCAGAAGATTAATATGTTGAACTGGGTGCGAACAAAATCTTATCAAAACAAATATTATCGAGATTTAAAAATTACAATAAAACATCTTGAAATGATAGCTTCGGTCGCTCCTGTTAATCCTATCTTTTCTCCAACTGATTAGAATGTTATCTAAATAGCGATCAAAATTATACTTGTGAATTACATATCATGCATGAGTTATAAAAAATAAAAGTAAATAGTTCTGTTCTTATAGTAGACAGAAATCTCAATTACTTTCGGAATATATAGTAGCCTTTTATTTCCTCTGCTAATCTTCATTATATTATTAAACCCTTAAAAATCAGCGTAATGCTTCTTCCTTTATATCAAATTATTTCTTTTATTTTTGTATAAGCACGATTATTGAAGTACGTGGTCTATTATAACAAATAAATTGTTGCCTCAAATTATTTTACTCCAATAGTACCTTCTATGTAACACCATTTTGTTTGATGACTTGAGCCAGCTTTTTCACAGTGTTGAATTGGAAGTAGTTATGTAAGAGTATATGCACAAAAGAATTACTTTAAATAATTCAACTGGCTATTATATATATATATATATATATTGTTTGATAACATAATTATAACATACATTTAATAATTTTTACTGCGTGATGTATATTTATCTAAGAGAAACCTGCCGCTTTACCTAATACTCCGATTCTTAAATTACAGTCTAATAGAACTGAATGGAGACTGCCATTAGACTAACGCTGTGTTAAGTATACTATAAAAATAAGGCCTTCTACAGTCTAAGTGCAAAAACAACGCAAAAGTAGATGTATTGAGATTTTATAACAAAAATGTGCACCTCAATACCTACCTCACACGTTGTGGCTGCAATTATTTTACTGCAACTATAGTCCAGGAGGAATCGGCGCATAAGTAACAAAAACTATTCCACCTCAATTTTTACTACGATTCTTTTAAAATTGTCCTACTGGTGTTATAAATGCATTTTGCCATGAGGCAACTGGGTGCCATATTGTTTAAACCGATTTTGTTTTTAATTGCAAGGAATTGTTATTTTCAAACGGGACATCTTCTTTTTCTTTATATATTTTATAGAGTCGAAAGTATTCCGATTTTGTGATTTTTCAAACCTTTAAAATTTCTCACTCCGAAAATATTAAATTTATTGGAAAAAGTAGGACCTTTTTTATTCGTATTTCATCAAAGAATATAAAAAATATTTTTGATATATTTTTTTCTATATATATTTTTAATGGGTAAAAAGTATCTGTATTTGGGATTTTTCAAACCTTCGAAAATTCATAACTCTGAGAATTTTATCTTTATCGTAAAAAGTCAGAGGGCCTGTTATATTTGTATTTCATTAAAAAAATATTTAAAAAAATTGTCTAGTTTGAAAATAATAATTCCTTGCTATTGAAAAAAAAAAAATCGGTTTAAACAATATGGCACCGAGTTGCTCCATGGCAACATACATTTATTTCATCAGTAGGACAATTTGAAAAAAATCGATAAAAAATTAAGGTGGAACAGTTCTCGGTACTCATGCGCCGATTCCTCTTGGATTATTAGCGGAAGTTGTCTCAAACCTTTTGTTCGTAAATCATAGTTCGTTTTATTCGTATGCGAGCAAGGTCAATGTTCTAGTTTGTCATTAGTGTGCATTGCATGCGTGTTAGTAGTATCTAATCTAGATTTCAGTGCATGTTTGGTGCGCCAAAATGGTTTGAATTAAATCTGGCTTTAGTTGGCACCTAAATGTGTGATTATGCAATCCAAAAATTTTAATTTTAATATTACTCAGTGGCATAATAATAACACGTTGTACCGGTCAGTAGCGACACGGAGAGTGCGGTGGGAGGACGCGAGCGATCGCGACTTGGAGCGCTCGGCGCACGTATGCGAGCGGCCTTACCTAGAGCGCGCGACAGAGTGCAGGCTACTGAACCGAGAACGGAAGTCGATGATAAGGTATGTACCATTAATTTTATAGCAATCCAGCGAGTATACGTTTATAAGTGTGGTGGAATACATCAAGAATTGTAGCTACGATGCCAGAAAATAATTGTAGCCAGCAAGGATGTAAACGCGTGAAGCTAAAAAGCGTAGAATTCCGTTGACGGAAAACGATATCCAAAAACTACCACCTAATTAGACTTTGACCCGTTTTTTAGAATAAGGGTGACAAACGAGCACACAGTCTAACTGATGGTAAGTGGATGCTGTGGCCCACAGATATCTACAATTATTCTAAATTAAGAATAAATATGCAGATGCGTTGTCACCCATAGGACTAAGATGGAATGCCTTGTTTCCAGTGATAAGGGTGTCCGATTGTCTACACCAATCATACTAAACACACCAGCATTAAGCTTATATTTTACGTTGGTATTCTATGTGGGCGTGGTCCTTTCGCGGTCAAGCCGAACCATTCATGCTACAACTATAATATAGCTGCAACTTGGAGCTAAAGTTAAATTTGGACTTCTTTTTCCGTGTAATGGCTGGTGGCGTTGTAAGATAATCCTTTACACTATTTTTTTTGACTGTGTGACGGCCATATAATGTTATGCATTGCGGTAGACGGTAGTATAGCTGTCTCTTTACACCAGACGTAAAATACCCAGAACGATCAGACAGCAGCGTCAAGTACTGCGATCTTCAGTCCGCCTGCCAAGCGTGACGCTTAAGGTATATCCTTTTTTTAGAAGGGGCAAATGAATATGCGTCTCACCTGATGGTAAGTGACTATCGCCGCCCATGTACAACTATAGCTCTTATCTAAGGACTATAAAAAGGAGTAGCTCTAGCTGGTGGTAATCGATTCCACAAGAAAGTTGTGCGAGGAAGAACACAGTGGTAGACTACCAATCATCCAAATGGTATGGATGGTATCACGAGTTTTGTCGCGATGTGCGATGGTGAAATTGGGCGGCTAGAATTAATCCGAACGATTCCTCTGAGCACTCCCCTTGGTAGGTGCGATTCACTGATTATCCTCACTATAGCGGAAGAATCCTATGGACAAATTATGAACTTTCGCGGACTGATGACGAAGGTTAGGAGCCACCTCATATCTACTAATATCCTAGCCTAGCTTACTATCTTCACAAAGTAATCAAAGCTACGAATGTAGCACATTACAAGACCACTGCTGAAAAGAAGCTTTCCCCAAATAATAAACTATGCCACCTGCATCTATCGACCTCCTGCATGTTTCACTGTGTTGTTACAATGTAATTTTACCAATTATAGGTCCTCTCGGAAGAGAAGAAAGGCGTAGTATACGCTGAACTACAACTTGGCGAACAAACGGCTGAAAAACCACCGCCACCTTCCACCGAGTACGCAGAAATTGTATACACCGAGCAAAACCAGCAGAAGGAGAGCAAAGAATAAGCAAAATTCATCATGGCGCCTAGAATGGGGAATGCAAGTGCAAGTTAAAATAAAGGGCGAAGGACAAACTATACTTAGTATTTATTGATTACTATATAGTTTGTAAACAGAAATGAAAAGTAACTATTTGCATTTTTTTTTCAAACCAATAGCTCCCCAGCGTCGTTTAATACTTGCATTCCCCATCAATTTCACAAAACACTTCATTCACACAAAAATTCAAAGTACAACAATATTAAACTACCTTTTAAACAACGGTAAAATAGAGAACGCTATTATAGATATACAACATGTAACAAAAACCCTGTGGTTTCCGTTAAGTGTGTTATCAGAATCAGTATCCAATCGTATAGAAATATTTTTTTTGAAAAGAAAACACATTAAAAAAATAATTTTAATGAAAAAAAAAAATAATAACTTGTAAATTGTATGTGGTTTCATTTCCTCTAACTCAAACGAGTATCGGTAATGCGGGGTCTTCGACAATCCTTTTACTCCTCGGCCAATGCGGAAATATTAAAATATGTGGTTTACATACAATTTGCAAATTAAGTTTTTTTTTCATTAAAATTATTTTTTAATGTTTGTTGAAAAAAAAAATATTTCTATTTGCTCGGATACTGATTCTGATAACGCAGTTAATGGGAACCACAGGGTTTTTGTTACATGTTGTATAGCCAAAATAGAATTGGTTTTCTTTTCTTTCATTTAAATACTACGTTCCAAAATCTGTAAATAAGACATCACGAAAATATTCATGTTTAAAACTCCACCGAAAGTAAATATTTATTTCAAAAATGATATTATTTTATATTTAAGTTATATGTGTAAGAATGTCAATGTGAGCTTATTCATATGTGTATCGATAAAAATTAAAAAAATGAAATAAATATAAAATTATGTTAAATTAAGGAAATGGATTTATTGTATAAAATTAGAAAATTCCTTTTTAGACTTACATTTTGCAATTAAAATAATAAATCGGAAGTAATCTCATTTATTCCTAATCGTAATTATTAGGTATTCATAATTGTGTGTGTGTGCTTTGAATTGATATTTACTACATATTTGTATAGTAAGTAAGATGATAAATTATTTTACTGACACCCCAAACATATTCGCACAAATATTTTATAATGCTTCTATTTGTATGTTTCTTTAGTTAAATGTGCTTTAAAATACCTATCTTTAAACATACATTCCATTATTCGACGTATTATACCAATTACCTACAAATTTTGTAATTTATTGTAATAAAATCATGACATGTTAAAACTAAAAAAAATATTTTAAAGCTTGTAATCAAATAGTATTGTCAGTTTATATTGAATATATCATAATTAAACACACCCACTTAATAAAAAAAATATTATAATTAGTCTCACTAACGCCTTGGCCTTAATAACTACAAATCGTAGTATAAAATTTGACAGCGAATGTTAAATTTCGCGTAAAATGTCTTCTTTACCCATAGATGTAACTAGAAATTATCAGTAAACTACCTAATAAAATCATTGGGCAACACGCACCACCGGCAGACCGGAGAAGAGTAAGCCATACGTGGGTATTCCCCTCTGTCAAAGTACAAGTTCACGTGGTCCTATGTGTACAATAAAACTAGTTGAAGCCACAATGCTCACTAGGCTCAATCTAGTACGCGACTGAGTAGACGTCTTACAAAAATACCGAATTGTTCAGTTTATTCTGCAGCAAAAAGAGATCTGCTACGACTAATTAAAAAAATATGGTGTTCCCTTTCATATACATAATAATTTTTATCACATTATTGCTACTTACTGCTTTTTAAATTTAAAAATTAAAATAATAATTAACCCAGGCCGCTTAGCCTCACACAAAATGCGGATAGGTCTAGCAACTGATCCGAGTCTGTATGTGAGCTGCCGCTGTCACAGAGCAATAGTGTTATAAAGGGTGCGTTTGGCAGAAAAAAGCGCTAGCAAGCGCTTGTAAGCAAAATGGCGATCGTAAGCGGTAAACGCTGTCAAATCGTAAGTAGCTATTTTCCTCCAGGACACAATGTTAGTTTTAACCGGAGAACCTAACCTAATTTAAATATATGTTTGTAAAGTATTCATATTAAAAACTTACCAATCATGAATTTTTAATAACGATGTATATGTTTATTCACGTTATTATATTACTTAAACTAATATTGCACAAAACAACTTAAAAACTCTACTTCAAAACAAACAAATTAAATAAGCAAAATGGCGGATTGTGTCAGCGCTACTGAAGTAGTAATCGTGTCCTGGCAGAAAACTATTTCAGCGCTTGTAAGCGCTTGCTAGCGCTTTTTTCTGCCAAACGCACCCAATGTATATACGTGTGTGTGAAATTGTTATTATATTGTTTTAATTGTCATGTGTGAGTTTCGTAGTGACCGACGATTGTTTTTTTATCTGTACAAATTTCTTCCCGCATAAAATGATAGACAGTTCTGAAAACGCTATGGTTACCCCCCCCCTCCGGTCCGCCGGTGACCCGTGTTGCTCTCTGAATAAAACGGTTTGTATTTTAATTAGTACAATTGATAAAAATGCAGTATACAAAGTATCAAAATTGTAACATGAAATTAATTTATACTTATTACAAACGTTTTTTTAAAGTTATATAATATATTCTTTATTTACATTTAAGTACAAAGCAGGGTTAATAAATGAGGAGGCTTTATTTATAAAGAATCCAATATTTACACTGTTAATCCAGTTAAGGTACAAAATGTTATTTTATTATTATTTTAAACTAAAAAAATACTTGTATTATTAGCTCAATTTTGAGTCTGATTACGTTTTATTAAGTTCCGTCCTTATTAGAAGTTTAGTTATTGCGTATATTTTAATTGATTTTAAGTTAGTTTTGGGTGCTTATGATTTAATAAAGTATTTTATAAGCTCAGTAATGATTTGTGTTGTGGCCATGAGTTTTGATAAAGCGAAAAATCATAGTACAATATGTCTCGCTTAGTATTGAAACAATAACATCTACATTTCTGTACCAATTAATAAAATGTAAAATGCTAATGTTGATACTATTATATTTCTATAATAATCAATAGAATTCCAATGCCATTTAAAAAACAAAGGTAATTAAATTTGCTAAAAATGCCTTATAGCAAAAGGCCCACGTTTTGCAAATTTGTGCAAATAAAGTTTTAACTTTTACACTACCGTGTTTGGTGATACTTCTTATCAGATATAAGTAATCTATTTCTAATATTGATAATTTTTTGACATTCAATTATTCTACAATCTAAATATTATGAAGATTATATATTAAATTAAATAATTAATTATTTAATTCAGGGATGGCCCTTAGTTATCTATGTTATATAATAAGCACTGTACTGTAATGAAAGTAATTACTTTTATCTCCTTCTTTTTTATTTCTTTTTAAGTGTAATTGAATATCAATAAAGCATCCACGAATATTATTTATAAGTTCTAATATTATACGTATTAGCTGGTATTAGCAATTTTCACTATTTTCTGCTTTTGTAACTAGACACTAAAATATAAATCTTAGGTTTTTTTACATTATACTGGTTCTAAAGTATTTTTTAAAATTACTTGTTTGTAACGAAACCGTTGATATTTTTAAGCAAAAAGACTTATAAATATTTTTTTTGTCTACGAATGTTGACTTTCATCATAAACTCGCTTTATTATTTCTGAAACTTTAATAATAATAACTTTAATACTTTTTATGTAAAAATATTTTTTAGGTATTCATAAGTACTTAAAGATAACCAACAAATGTCTTTTTATATTATTATAGAATTAAATGTGTCATTTTTATAAACGTCTTATTTATTTTAATACTTTTGTTGACCTCTTTATAATATTGTTACGACCTTGGGGTTCGTGAGTAGTTACGATGTACCACTTCTGGCTCAGAGTCAGAAGTGGTACAACGTTCGTCGACTCACGATCCTAAAAAAAAGGTTTTGGCATGCTCTGATCACGAATCTGCGATCCGTTTTTGCGTAGGATGCACAATTCCGGAGATGTGCAGATCAATTAACTAATATCCTCCTAACTAAGGGCCTCCACCGTCATTAGCGTCCCATTGTTCTTATCTATTGTTATTGTCTATACCTCCTCGGCGTGTGCGTCGGCCTATCGGTGCTATTGTATTATACTTCTTTGTTCCTATCTACAACGCTAATCTGAATCATCAATAAAACACATTAAATAATTTTGTTACAATTTTTGTTTACAAAATACAAAATCTTATTACTTATTATCTATAAAATAGGAGCGAAACATCTCATCTACTAAATAATCGTTGTACAATGTGTTCCCTGTAAATATACTCGTAAAACTATGCATTGAACATCCCTGAAACTTATATAGCAAATACATTAAGCAATATTCGCCACAAACTGAAGTCCAATCATTCTGAATCCTATCAACATTCCAGTTCCATCTTTTACAATTCCTTTTTAAAAACTCTAGATGATATCGTACAGGTGATCGTCCATATGAATCAAAATATTGACCGACATCATCCGTATCGATATATAAAGCTACCCAATGTGACCCTGGTTTATCATCTGTATCCAAATTGCATACTATATACGTTGGTACGTGGGTATACATGGGCAGTCTATTAGCAGCATAAACATTATTTTCTAGACTGCGGTGAATCTTTTTCAGATGTTGTCATACATCTAGTGTATCCATGATATTACTGCTATTAGTAAATTATTACAGTACCAATCTACTCAATGACTAACATAGGAATGATCAATTATAGTGATTTCTAAATATTAAATCGCTTTCTTTGTGATATACAAATCGTATTTGAGTCATCGATACAAACGAACAAGATGCAACAAGAAGGAATGTTGAGATAAGCAACAGAATACGAGATAAGCTTGTTGACGCATAAAGTTACTATCAGTTCCACTGCAGAAATTCTTTAGATTAGAATTATTACCTACTGGTGCTATATAAAACCAGGGCGCTGCAGTCATGGAG